AGCAGCCTGTGGGACAACTTCAAGTGTTCCAACATCTGTATCACTGGGGTGCCAGAAGGAGAAGAGAAAGAGCAAGAAATTGGAAATCTATTTGAAAAAATAACAAAAGAAAACTTCCCTAATTTGGTGAAGGAAACAGACACGCAAGTCCAAGAAGAACAGAGTCCCAAAGAAGATGGATGCAAAGAGGCCCATTCAAAGACACATCATAATTAAAATACCAAAGGTTAAAGATAAAGAGAGAATCTTAAATGCAGCAAGAGAAAAGCAATTAGTTACCTACATGGGAGTCTGCATAAGACTGTCAGCTAATTTCTAAAAGAAACTGCAGGCTAGAAGGGATTGGCAAGAAATTTTCAAAGTCATGAAAAGCAGGGACCTACAGCCAAGATTTCTCTACCCAGCAAAGCTATCATTTAGAATTGAAGGGCAGATAAAGAACTTTCCCAACAAGAAAAACCCAAAGGAGTTCATCATCACCAAACCATTATTATATGAAATGTTAAACTGATTTATTTAACAAAAAGAAGATCAAAACTATGAACAAAAAAATGGCAATAAATACATATCCATAAGCAATTGGATCTAAAAAAACAAACTAAGCAAAAAAGAAGAGAGACAGAATCATGGATACAGAGAGTGTTTTGATGGTTGCCAGATGGGTGGGGGGTATGGGAGAATGGGTGAGAAAGATTAAGAAGTACAAATAGGTAATTACAGAAGAGCAATGAGGATGTAAAGTACAGTATAGGAAATGGAGTAGACAAAGAACTTATATGCATGACCCCTGGACATGAAGAAAGGTGTGGGGATGGCCTGAGGGAATAGGGCGGTGTTGGGTGGAGGGAGATAAAGGAGGGAAAACTTAGACAACTGTAATAGCATAATAAAAAATAATTTTAAAAAAAGAAAATAAATCTAGGTAGCTAATGAATTGTTACAATCTATGCTTAATGTATATAGTTTAAATAAATTATATTTCAATAATTAAGCTCTGAGAAGCCATATGCTATAGTGCTGCACAAATTATAAAGTATAATAAAGCCACATTATAATGTCTTCAGGTTTCAAGCTGTGAAATGTCACTAGAGAGATTTGTCATAATAAAGGCCTCCTGGTCCTTCTATGATAAGAAATGTTTGTGACCATAGCTTGTGAGAGAAATGCCTTTAATGAATCTTATGTGAGAACATGTTATGATGTGACAACACACACACAAATATTTTAACATTCTTGTGCTTTGTCACAGAAAAGATTTTATCAAAATCTAGGAAGAAAGGAGAGAGGGCTTCATATTTATTGTGCTACCTACCAACCCAAACACTGAGCTCTGTTTTTCATATATTACCTAATTTAATCCTCACAACTCCAGAAAATATTATCACTTTACTTTTACAGATTAGGAAACAGTCTCAGAGATGTTTATCTAAGGTTTATCTAAGGTCACATAGTTGATAACACATAGAACTGGGACTTGAACCCAAGAATGTCTGATTTTAAAACCACTGGACTTTCCTTTATGCCATGTTGCTATCACTCAAAAAATTTAGAGTAAAGGCTGCTCTTTAGCTTCCCAGAAATTTCCTTAGCAAACCAAGCTGCTTACTCACTACTTGTCCATTGTGTGTCTAAAACTTCTGGGTCCGATTCACTGACCCATACAATCACCACTTATCCATTGCCAAATAGATATGAGGTGCCTACTATGTATCTGACATTATGCCAGGCACCAGGGCCACACTGATGGGTGAAAAAGGTGTCCTCAAGTCCTTTGGCACAGAGGAAAGAGTCAGTAATTATTGTCATACAAATAAATGTAAAATTGAAACTGTGCATGGTATCACTGTAGTATCTAACAGGGGTGTCTGACTCAGTCTGGGAGGTCAAGGAAGGTTTCTCTGGGGAAATGATGACTCCATAGAGATCTGGAGAGTAAGTAAATTACCTAGGTAAAGAAGATTTTTGGAGGTTGAGGGAACACTATGTACAAAGATGCTGTGGTGAGAGAAAGCACTGCATGTGTGAAGACATGGAAGAAGGGCAGTGTGGATGTGGCAGAGGCGCAACGGGAAGCACCACAGCACATCGGGCAAGAGGGACAGGAACAGCCAGAGGGCACTGGGTTTGTAGGCCAAGTAAAAGATTTTGACTTTTATACTAAGAGCAGAGGGAGGCCACTGAATGGTTTTAAGAAGGGAGATGACATGATCAGACTGACATTTTCTAAAAGCTCATGCTAAAATGGGAAGAACTAATCCAGAGGAGGAAAGAATAGAATCAGAAAGACCAGTCAGGAGGCTACTGAAGTAGTCCGGGCAAGAGATGATGCTGTCTTAATCTAAAAAGGTAAAAGTGGAAATGAAGAGACGTGAAGAGATTTGAGATACATTTAGGAGTATAAAAATGACAGAATTTAAAATAACTGCAATATGGAAAGCGAGAGACATGAGTATTTCAAAAATTCCACAGTTACTGGCTTGTACAATGAGATGAACGGAGAATACAGAAAGAAGCTCACACTTGGTGGGGGACAGAAGAGAAGCAATCCTGGGGTCAGTTCTGGGTGTTCAGTTTGGGATGCTTTTGAGATATGGAAACGGCAACATGAGTCCATAGCTCAGAGGATAAGTCTGGATTAGAGATATAAATTTCTGAGTTATCTGAAAAGAAAAAGTAAACCGTGGGTACAGATGAAATCACCTGTGGAGAGAGATCTAGGATGGAGCCCTGAGGAATTCCAACATGTAATGATTAGTAAAAGAGGAAAAACCTGTACAGGAGACGAAGAAAGAATAACCCACTGAGAAAGGAGGAAAACTGGGAGTATGTGACATCGCAGAAGCCAAGGTAGGAGAAAGTTTTAAAAATAAGAAAGTCAAGAAAAGTGCTGAATGCTGAAAGGTGAAGTAAATCTGCTGGAAGTAATAACATGACAATTATTACAGACTCTAGAAAGCGCTGCATTAGTGGTGTGACGGGCGGAAGTCACATTCGAGAGGAGAAATGAATGAGCTGTAGATGCCGTGGTGGCTATTAAAAACCTGTCCGCCAACCTGAAAAACCTAAGAAATTTCAATTTGAGAAAGCAAAACACACACAGAGGCTACAAAAAACAGACATAAATCTACCGGTTTTGCTGATTCTTTAAATGCTCTAGAAATCCAGGAAAGGAAGGCTGAAGGTGACTGGGTAACTCAGGGTAAGTCTTTACAGAGAAGGAAAAGCCTTAAGCAGGTTAAGAAGTACAAAAATCAATCGATGAAAAGTGCTCAATCTAGGAAAACTACATGAGAAGACTGCACGGTGTGTATGGGGGTGGGGGTAGTGGGGGGATGGGAGCGGTGGGAGGGGGATGGGGTGGGACAGTAAAAAAGCCAAGAGCTATCTGACCATCTGTTTTGTGATGTAGGCTGAATATTGAATTTTTTAGGATTGAATAATCTATACCCTAGTCTCTCTTATTTTTTGCTGCCAACCTGTTGGCCAATTCATTTCTCAAAATCAATTATACCAGAGGTTTAATAAGGAAAGAAAAAATAGGAATCATAAATCAATTGCATTGCTCATTAGGTTTGGATAATGGTGTGTGAAAGGTGGGAATAAGTAAAATCAATGGCTAAGATGTGACTTGGTATTTGTGATTCTGAGGCAGTGAGATAGAGTGGAAAAGAACACAGACTTCAGCCCTGACTGGAGTGACTTAGCTGGTTGGGCTTCATCCCACAAAGGGAAAGGCTGCCAGTTTCGTTCCCAGTCAGGGCACATGCCTCGGTTGCGAGCCCAGGCCCAGTAGGGGCTCGTGCAAGAGGCGACCGATCGGTATTTCTCTCACACACCACACACTGATGTTTCTCTCCTTTCTCCCGCCCTTCTCCCTCTTAAGTAAACAAACAAATAAATAAATAAACCACTGACTTCAGAGCCAGAGGCAGTCGAGTTTGAATACTAACGCTGTCACTACCTTTGTAGCCTTGGGAAATGCAATTGATGTCTTTGCATCTCCAAAATGGAAGAAAGATTAAGTTTCTTGGCAAGGTTGTTTCAGGACTTAGAGATGAGATGGTAATGCTTGCCTCATAGGAATCTACTAATTGGTGGCTACTACTGTTTTAGTTATACTGTAAGAGAAAACAGGAAATACATTCAAAGAGATAACCTAGTATACCCTAAGATGGGGACATTTTATTTACTGGTGGGCTTTTATCTACAGTTTTCTACTGGTATTAATCTAAAGACAAGTGAAAAGTACCAAATAGCAAAGTTTAGTTTTTGAACCATTTTTGTACCATATAATATATTTGTATCACAGACTTTTATAATTAATGATATTAAATATATAACTATTCAGTACATATTTAAAGAGTCAAATATATTTTTATTTCATATACTGATAATTTTGTAAAGGAGCAAAGAAGAGACAAAAAAAGTAAAACGGAAGAATAGAAAAAGCAACTACAGTTAGGGGTGATAAAAAGAACAGAGGATAAAAAGGCTAACGAGAGCAGGGAGAGAGAGAGACAGAGGAAGAGAGACCGAAGAGACAGAAGAGAGCTGGCAGGAGAATACGCCCAGACCTCTTCGACCCTCTCCTGGGCCCGCCGCCGCGGTTTGCCAGCCTCCGGCTCTGCAGGGCCAGCTCTTCCTTTGCCACTGCCCAGCACACTCCCCCCACCCCCATCTCTGTAGTCTCCTACCCCGTACTTAACCTGACAGCAGACCTGGTTTTGCTATACAGTGCTCTAAACTACTTCCTCTCAGTTATAAAAAGCAAGACAAAACAAAACATAGCATACCTACATTTCTATCTGCTAAACTAAGGACACCTCTGTCTTAGAAATGAGGAAAATCTAGAGATGCCTTTGAGAAACTTTATCAGATATTTTAAGGGATTAAAGTGATGAATTTAATTTAAGAAAGTACGCCAAAGGATAAAATTAAGTCAAGGGAAAAACCCAGACCCGGGGATGACTGACCCCGCTTTATTTAGTGTCTTTCCTTACTGTGTGCTGAGGCCCATCTTCATTATCCCTCATGTAGAAAGGCTTGAGTGCTAATGGGTAATTAATGACAAAGACTGGGATGTTGCCACAGTGCTTCACCAGGTACTTTTCATGTTCCGTCTGTAGATCACCACCCCACTGCAACGAGAGGGGGAAGAAAAAGATTACCAGAGGAGAAGATAAAGCTCAAACACACAATGCAGGACCTGAAAATAACCTGTATCAGTTCTCTCCCTGAGGATCAGTGATGTGTGGAGCTGTCTGCTGAGGTTACCCAGATAGCGGAACCAGAGAGAGGTATGCGTTAGCAAGAACATCCAAAGGCCTGGAAAGATGAAAGCTAAAACTGGTAGATAAACACGATGCTCTCGCTGCCCGTCTCAAGGAGCAGCATTTAGCAGATAAATAGCATCTTCAGGAAAACAAAGTGCACTTTCCACAGTGTATAAAAACTGACCTCAGACTCACAGTTTTTATTAATATTGCCTAGAGCTTCTTCCACAGTTACTGTTTCTAAGTCTCAGGAAATTAAATGATGAAAGATAATATTTCTAATATTGAGTCTATCTTTGGTTAGATGGTTTCTCTCAGAGAATTGTTTTTTAATAAGAGTCAACTGATATATCAGATGCTTTCTGATGAATATTTAATAACACTGCTCATCTATTTATTCAGCAAATACTAATGTGCCTATGAAATCTTAGGTACCATAGTAGGTACTAGATACAGTGGTAAGAAAAATAGAATCCTTGACTTCAGGAAGCTTCCAGAGTAGGAAACAAACATTAAATGCAAAATTATACACAGAAATTAAATTGATTACAAATATAACAAGCACAGAGTGCCATTATAACTGAGAAGAGGATCTGACTTAACTGGAACTGATGTAAGAAATAGTTTGAAAACAAAGGTATTATATTCTTAACATTATCTTACTGCTCCCACTTATCTGCAATATCTTAATTATAGGAAGAAAGTACTGGCATAGGAATGAGGAGACTTGCCTCTCACATTATGTGCATGTTCACCAAGGAGTTATGAGGTCTCTCTGGATCTATACATTTGCCAATAAAACAAAGGAGTTCTTAAAAAAACCCAACAAAGTAATTCAGTGTTTTCCAAAGTGGATCACAAATTAGAAGACTCTAAAGTTCAACAGAAAAAGAAATCTATTTACTGCGTTGCTTAAACTTACTTGATCACTTGACCTCTTTTGTCTGTCACTTGTTAACATCATTCAGAAGATACTTAGGGAAACACTGAACTAGTTGATTTCTATACTAACAATCTACAATTACCATTCTTTGTAAGGATTTTCATATTGCTAAACTTGGGAAACCTCTTTATAACCCTTTAGTTGCTGCTATTCCAAATGACATAATCTTACTTCAAAATTATTACTTTTTTCATTGTTCAAATACATTTGTCTCCACCTTCCATCCAGCACGTCCCCCTGCCACCTCCCTCACGTCCCTCCCTCAGTCAAAACTATCTTTTATTTTAAATATTCCAACAAGGTTGAGCAAATATCGAAGACAGCCAATATATAGATAAGCAAATCCTGCTAATAAAAGAAATACAATTATTTTAAACAATGATATGAAAAGGAGGGGAAAACATATTTATACACACACACATAAATACTACCTCTGGGGTGAAGGTGAAGCTCTGGGATGCCTGCTTTAAGATCTCCACTGCTTCAGTGTAAGAAATGCTGGAGAGAAATGGAAAAAGCAGGGGAAAGGTCAATACAGTGGGTTGCTGTTAACTAATTCATCTCAAAACTAAGACAGTCCTATTGCAATACAGTCTGTGAGATCATAAATGCGTATTAAATGATTATTGAGTAATCAGGCATTAAGGTTTACCTAATCCTATGACAGTCCTATCAGCATGAAGAGCAGTGGCCATTCAACAATCCTAGTCCTGATCTACTTGTAATGTACACAGAGGAGCTGGTCGCTTAAGCAAGACTTTCTCTGAATTCATGCTAAGCCAATGCCATGATAAAAGGTGTGAAATATAGTCCTGGTAGGGTGGCTAGGTTGGTTAGAGTGTAGTCCAGTACTCCAAAAGGTTACGGGTTCAATCCCCGGTCAAGGCACGTGCCTGGGTTGCAGGTTTGATCCCTAGTTGGGGTGTGTGTGGGAGGCAACTGATTGATTTTTTTCTTTCTGACATCGATGTTTCTCTCTCCCTTCTTCTCTCTCAAAGTCAATGAACATATCCTCAGGTGAGGGTTTTGTTTTTTTTTTAAAGGCGTGAAATATAGAGGTTGGAAAAGCAAAAATCTTTCTTTAAAGCCATCATTCATTCATTCATTCATGCATTCACCCAAGAAACATACACCGAGCACCTTGTACGTGCTAGGCATTATTCTAGGCACTGGAGATACAGTAAATAAAAACAAAGATCCTGCCTTTATGGAGATACTCGTGTGTGTGTGTGTGTGTGTGTGTGTGTGTGTGTGTGTGTGTGTGAGGGGTATGAGTACAGAGTGGGAAGAAAGATAAACAAATAAACAGAAATATACAATATGATGCCAGGGAGCTATTGGTGTTATGAAGAAAAATAAAGCAAGGTAAAAAGATAGAAGATGCTTGAGGGCGCTGTTTCAGAAAAAATGGTCAAGAAAGGCCTTACCAAGTTGGCTACATCTGAATAGAAACCTGCATGAAGGAAATAAGCCATATAAATACCTGTGGGGAAGTATTCCAGACAAAAGGAACAGTGGGTACAAAGGCCTGAAGGGAGGCCTGAGTCTGGCTCATTTAAGGAACAAAAAGATCAATATGACCGTAGTACACTGAACAAGGGGGAAAATGCCAGGAAATTAGATAGGTAGTCACAGGTCAGATCCTATGAACTCCTTCATGCCAGGGTATGGCCTTTTTAATATACGCTAAGCATTGTTTAGAACAGTTCAGGAAAACTATCATTGGTTATCTCAGTAAGAAACCCTCATGCCTAAAGCAAGCCAAGCCAAAACCTTATATAAACTATTTGAATAAGTAATATGTGCACATAATTAAAAAAAAATCAAGATGTATAAAAGAATATACATCTTCTTTCCATTCTGTCCCACAGCTACCCAGTTAGTTCCTCTCCTCCTACACTCACTGTCAGAGGTGTTTTGGGTACGCTTCCAGAGGGTTTTATACATCTATAAGCAAGTATTAATATACAATCTCCCTTTCTAAGAATAGATAGCAGCCATTGTGTATATACCATACACTTTTTTTACATCTTTATATACTCAATAATATACCTTGTAGATCTTTCCATGTCAGTATATGAAAAGCTTCTTCATTTTTTGAACTATTACATAATTTTCTATTTTACAGATATATCCTAATAAGTTTTAACCAGTCATCTACTGATGGATACTTCAGCCATTTCCAATCTTTTGCTATTATAAATCATTACTATATATACGTATTTTATACTATTACAAATGTTTCTTATATACTAATTTTGTAAATAAAAAATGAAATTGTTGGATCTTCAGCAATATCTTTCAAAATATATAAAACTGCAAATGCAAATACCCCTTTACATGGTTATCCCAATTTATGTCCACCAATAATATATGAAAATGCCAGTTTCCCTAAGTCTTCCGCAACAGTACTTTGGATGATTAAAAACAAAAATCCACAAAGAGCTCAAAAAATAACTTCCCCAACACAAACTTATTCTCTGGAAAAAAACGAAGTTTATACTATAACAACTAATTGAAAAAATCTGTGTCTTATAGTACAAATAAAGCCCCCAAAGCTATGTTTTGAGTAATAAGTTTTTTCTAAGATGAAACTTCTATTCAAATTAAAAATCTAGTATAGACTAACAGGTAATTTCTAAGGTAAGACCAGTGTTGGTGTTGGTAGTAGTAATAATTTTTAAACCACCACTTTACAGAAGGGAAGCTGAAGCCCAGAGAGGATCAGTAACTTGCCAAAAATGACTTGTCTAAGTAACTAGTAAACCCCGATCTGCTGACTCCAGAGTCTAAACTTTTAACCAAGATAATGCCTAAACTACTTGGAGTATCATATCAAAACAAAAGATTTGGGTTTTCCCTCTCACTCCACTACCACTTACTAGCTACGTAAATCACCTTAATGGAAGCATTTTATAAATTTTTTCTAATGTGTCATACACACATTAAAAAATTAAGTATTGTCACTTGTAAAAAAGGAGTTTGGATTGTATTACCTGAAGTTCTTCCTGCTTAGACATATTGTTGTTCTAGTCCATCATTACTTGATATGATCTATTCATTATACTGAGAAGTAGAAGAGCAATCAGAAAGGGTTTTGTGCCATTGATATGCTACTGTTACATTATTAAGAAAAATGGCTCTCATGTCCAAATGTCTCTCGTTATTCTGGATATTCTGCCCTACTCCCTCCACACTTTAAGTTGAGACAGAGCTTTCAAGTTCAAATTACAGTTCTGATACTGGATATTCATAATGGCCTTCATCAACTTTCCCTACTAATTTTTGTTGATACGTATAGAGAATATTTCTTCTACTTCCCAGAAACTGTGTCCAAAGTGCTTTGAGGAAAGAATTTGAGAAGACATTGTAAAATAGCATGATACAATCAAAATACCTTCATGTTTCAAATTTTTAATTGTTGAATGAAGAAAATTATTATGAAGTTGTTAGAATAAAACTGCTATGCTAAAGAGATCATTATTAGCATTCTTTGCCTCACATTCACACAGATAAACAAAGCGCAAGTAAAAGGTAAGGACCCTGTATTTTAAAAACCTTCACACTGTAGCAGGTGTGTCCAACCTTTTGGCATCTCTGGGACACACTGGAAGAGGTGCTGTCTTGCGCCACACATTAAACACAATGTGACATATAATCACAAAAAAAAACTCATAATGTTTTAAGTAAATTTACCATTTTGTGTTGGGCCACATTCACAGCCATTCTGAGCTGTGTGTGGCCCGCGGGCCGCAGGTTGGACACCCCTGTGAGGAAATGTAAAATAACGGAATTCTAGTTCTGCTTGATTACTACACAAATCCTTTAAGTAATATATTTTTACATGAAACAATTATAACAAGTAGTCAAGAACACATTGAAATCTATGGAAAAGAGCAGTCACATGGCGTCCTGTGTGTGTGTGTGTGTGTGTGTGTGTGTGTGTGTGTGTGTGTGTGTTTCAGGAAGTATCTCAATTCCGACTCACCATGCCCAGGCCCACTGTCATGTCCTCTCATGGTTATTAAAATCCCTGGCTTCTGAGACTGGCCAACACCCCTCCATCTCCATCTTAAGAGTCCTAGCATCATGCCATTTATGTCTATTCCTCTGGTGTTCAGGTCCCTATTCATTTCTAGTTCCTGGAGCTTTTCTAGGGAACTCAACAAGGCTTCTTCTTTTTTTTTTTTTTTAAAGAAAAAGAATTTTATAATATTTTAACTAGCATTTTTAGATGGTTTGCAGCAGGAGTGTTTCCAGATTATCTAGTGTGACACACTGCTTCAGCAGTAGTCATTTGATACTTTCAACAATATAAGACAGACAAGTTATCCCTTTATAGATGAGAAAACTGAAGTTCAGAAAGGTTAAAGACTTACTTCTAATCAGGTTCATAGTTGTAACTAAATAGTTATTCATGCAAATACTGGGCTATTCATTTTTTTCCCCTAAATTTAACATTCTATAGTCAGCCCAACGCATGTCTACTTTCACTACTGAATCCTCAATGGCTATCACACTGCCTAACTCAAAGTAGGTAGTCAGTAAATATCTGCTGAAAAATATTAATTCATTCATTACTGGCTAATAAGTGGCAGAGGCAGGATTAGAATCCACCACATTCAGTGTCTGAAGTAAATAGTGATAGGAGTTAACAGGGAACCTCAGGGAGAGGACCTAGTCTAAAGGAGAATACCCTCAACCCCATGGTTACTTAAATGTCATTTATTAATTCACTCAGTTATTCAATAGATATTTACTGAGTTCCTAAGCACTGTGAGTAGAATAGTAAACAAAATAAACAGCTCCTGACCACATGGAGGTGATAGACAGCAAACAGTAACCACACACATAAATTTAAACCTCAACTATGATTTGTGCTATGTGGAATGGATGATGGTAAACTGCATAGCCCATGAGGTCATTTCCCCAACTTCAGTATTTTACAGACTCCCAGCACAACAGTTAAGTGATACATAAAGGTCTTAAGGATAGTGGGGGAACTATAACTACTCTAGCATTAATTTTAATGCCCCTTCAAATACAGGAAGTATAGTGGCTGAAAGCTGGCTTTGATATCAGATGGATATGAGTTTGAATCTCCATTCCATCTTTTATTTGGCTAATCTCTTTGAGTTAATTCTTCATCTGTAGAATGGCAATGATAACTACCCACAGGGTTGTTGTGAAGATAAAATGAACCACTAATGTATGTAAAGTTTACCAATGGCCCATAGTAAATATTCAATAAATCGTGGTTATGTTTTTTCCCACATCTAAGATCTAATTCATCAGATAGGAACTACATTACTTAAGATCTTCTCCCTGGTTTCTGTCACCAGCACAGATTCCTTCAGATGCCCAAATTACTTCTTTCCTTATCTACTTAATTACTACTTTTATCAATATGCATAAGTCCAGAACTCTCCTATAAACTCCAGATCTGTGCACTCCAACTGCCTACCCAGCATCTATAACTAGATGTCTAAAAAGCTTCTCAATCTTAAAATGATACCTGATGATGATGACCCTGATATCATCCCCTCTCCCCCGCAACCCCCGGCTACTCTTTTGGCTTTCCCAGGCTCTGTTAATACAACTCCATTTTTATAGCCGCATAAGACAAAAGCTTTGAAGTCACCCATGACTCTTTCTCTTTCTCACTCTCAGCAAATCCTGTTTGCTCTATCTTTACAATATATCCAGAATAGAACAACTTTCTACCTCCATTGCAACTATCATGGTCTGTGATGGTTAATTTTATTTGTTAATTTGGCTGGGCTATGGTACCCAGATATTAAATCAAACATTATTCAGGATGTTTCTGTGAAGGTGTTTCCTGGATGAGATTAAAATTTAAACCTGTGGACTCTGAGTAAAGCATATTACTCTCCACAATGTGGGTGGGCCGCATCTAATCAGTTGGGGTCTGAACAGAACAAATATTGGCTCCCTCCCCACACGAAGGAATTCTGCCAGCAGACTGCATTTGCATTCTAACTGCAGTTCTTTCCTGTGTCTCCAGCCTGCTGGACTACTCCATCAGATTTGGAACTCATCAAGCCTCCACAACTGGGTGAGCTAATTCCTTAAATAAACCTTTTTATATATACACCATGTTGGTCTTGTTTCTCTGGAGAACTCTGACTAATACACAGTCCAAACCATTTCCTCTCCCCTAGATGACTGTAATAATCAAATTGGTTTTCTGCTCTTACTCTTGTTCTACTAAAGCTTATTCTCGAAAAGCAGCAAGAGTGATCCTGTTAAGCCCAATTCAGATCTTGTCAGCCCTCTGCAGAGAACGCTTCCATGGTTTCCATCCTCATCCAAGCACAAACCCAAACTCCTCATAGTGACTTACAAGGCTGCAAATGATTTTCCGACCCCCTTCTCCTTTCTTACTTTTTCCTTTACTATCCTCTTCCCATATTCCCTCTTCACATGACTTGAACACATCAGGCATGCTCCAACCTCAGGATCTTTATACCTTGCTATTCCCTCTGCCTGGAATAGTCTTTTCCCAGATGTCCACGCAGCTAGCTCTTTCACTTTCTTTAAATCTTTATTCAGAAATCATCTCAGTGAGATATTCCCTGCTATAATATCTAAAATTTCTACCTCCTCATTCTTCTTTTGTCTTATCTACTGGGGGTTTTTCCCTTTAATATTCACTCTCACAGACTACATGTTTTACTTCTCTTCTTCCTTCGTGATTATTGCCTCCACTAGAAATGTAAGCTCAATGAAGGCAGGGAATTTTAACTGCTTTGTCACTGTTTTAACATCGTTTTTGTGGCCCTGGCTCTGCTCTTAAACGAGAAGGTTGTGGAGTCAGAAGGTTCTAGGCGATTCAAGCTCCAAATGGGTTTGCAACAACTGTCTGGGGACGAAGGATTTTTAAGGACCACGTTTCTCTGGGAGCTATGAATTCCGTGATGGGATGAACCTGGAACTTTATCACCAATAGAGAGTAGGGTTCCTTCCCCTTGTCCTGCCCTTCCCCACCACATTAGTATGGACACTTGTTTTTAAAAAGTCATGTTAATAAAAACTTGGACAGAAAAAAAAGAGTTTTTAGGTTCTAGAACAATGCCTTGCACATAGTAAGTATTCAGTATAAATTTAAGTGAAAGGAAAAACCTCAAAAGCCTTCACTTATACTTCATTGCCTTTTGATTCTTTATCTGGGGGCTGCTGACTCTTTCCTCCTTTTCTGATCCCACCTCTGAGGCCTTACTATTTATTCACTCAGGCTCCATGACTCATCACTTTTAACTTGTAGCCTGAGGGTCTGGGCTGACACCTGAAATTCTCAACTCCGTCAATCTGTCAAGTTTTTTCCTTTCCCTCAACTCTGTCTATCTGCCAAGGTTTTCCTTTCCCTCTTCAAGGACAGGTTGAAATCCTTACTAGATAAAAAAAGTTTCCTAAACCTAAAGATTGCAACTGAAGAATGACATCAACTTATTTTCAGACACAATTTTCTACTCTACTAGTATTAAACTTACTTCCTATACCCACTGTAAATACACTAAATTTAGTGTAAATACACTAAAACTAAGTCTTAAATGCCTATCCGATTATATGGTTGGTAAAATAAACAACCAGTCCAGGATCAAGTACTATTTCAATAGAATTATAGTGGAGATGAAGCAATAACGTATGTGTTATGCTTTTTTAAGAAGTGGCAAAAAAGTCTGGAATGTATTACCGGATTTTAGCAAGTGAAGATAAAGGAGAGATAGAAAGAAGATTGAAACAGAGAAAAACAGAGATAGATATTACATGTATGTATTTTAAGTTTGTTTTTGAATAAGCCACACTTTGACTACTAAAGTTAGTATTAGTCTGCATTGCTTTAATGCAGTTAATAATTACTATGTTAATTTATCTTGACTATGGTTTATTCATTTATTTATACATGAAGCATTGATTATTGACCACAAACCAGACACAAGAGCTATAAAAATAATTAAAACATGGGTCTCCTTTGAGTCTAGGGAGTGTGATAAGCAGATATATAAACAAAAAAAAATTAATAGAGTGTGGTAAATACGACTATAAAGTATGAATAAAGTTGAGAGAAAATATAATATCTACTTACATTAAAAAGTTGTTTTTTAGCATATGTTCTAATCTGTCCTTGGTAAGAAAAAAGAAAATTTATTGTTAAATGTAATTATATTTATTATATTTAATCAACATATTTGAAGAGTAGATGCATTGGGCTTTATCCATAAACCTAATTACCTTTTGACCAGGAGCTATGAATTTGTGACAGAGCTCAACATCTTCAGGACAATTTGAGAGAACTGTCATTGTTGCAGACTTGAAGAGCCCCTCCATAACCTACGAGAAATGACACAGAGTTGCCTGACATGTAAGCTACTTTGTATGAAAAACCTACTTAGGGTACTGTAAGGATTGCTTTCCAGGTTTTAGCAACTATAAATCCATTAGGCCTCTTAATCCTGAATGTACTACAATAAGTTCAGTTTTTCAGATTGATGAGTGGAGGAATTGCAAATTCTCAGAGTGGCTAAAAAGAAAAGGAAAAATGCTTAAATCTTTTGTTAACAGTTTCAATACTAATATTGAAGTGGGATGACAAATAAACATCTAATATTGATTGATGCCTTTCTAAATTTCCATATAGTCACTTGAAGAATAATAACAATAACAGTACCTAGCTTACAGGACTGTTGAGAGAGTTACATGAAATAATGCGTGTAGAAGACCTAGCTTAGTACCTGGCTCACAGAAGCACACAATAAACATTAGTTGTGAAGAGTGAGACACTTTCAAAAGTGTTTCATTCAGTTATTGGTAAATGGAAGTAAACTTTAAAATTAGAGAGGCAATGAGGTATATCTCTGCATCTAAATATGTACATTTTTCTTTTGCCAAAGTATAAAGTAGAAATAACACATGTTGGCTTATAGGATGGGCAAAAGTAGGTTTATAGTTGTAAGTGAAACACAGAGTTTATTCTTGTATTATTATTTATTAATTAGTGTATTATTTTCCATACAAACAACTGTAAAACTATTTCTGCTCACCCCATAGAAGATGTCATTTTACTGGAAGTGTCCATAGAAATCTCATGGGAAAAACTTGTTCACAGAAGAAAAAAGTGATTGAAATGGAAAATATTTCTAAAATATTTTTAACCAAAATTAAAATTTTGGTTTGAAGTCAGTAAAATCATATTAGGCCCTCCAAATGTTGTACTTGTGCAGATACTGGAGTTATTTAAGCACAGAAGCCTCAGGGGCAGGCGTCTTCCCTTCCTCTCTGGCATCGAGGGTGAACCCTGTCAAGGCTACAGATGCTGTGGGCACAAGCATCTACTGAAGCAATTTAATAGACCAGATGGAAGAAAGTACTTAATTACCAAGTGACAAACATATATTTTTACATATTATATTTTTATACTTATACTTATTTTACATTTTTATATTTGGACCTATATATAGTATACAGAAGTAAAAAATAACTAGATGAAAAGAAGAGCAAAAGGAAGCTGAAGATCTTTTACGTTGACACTATATCACCTTCAATCTAGCAGTGAGATAAAGAAATCACTAAGTAACTGAATGCTTTATGAAGAGCCATACCTTCACTCACTAAAAAGAGCCGATGCATACTGGGAGGAAAAAGAACAGGTGGGTTGGATAGTACACCTGAACTGCTGAGGGACACAATATACCTATCTGTAAGATGAAGACTTTGACCCCTGGAGCCGTTACATCGGTGTCTTTCATAAGCAGTAAATTTCCATTTGAAGAAGTAAATCATTGGCTTCTCTAACCTTGACTTTCAGATTATGCTCTATAAATATATTTGAAGGAAAAAGAAACTTAACTGAAGGATTAGTGTAACCCTCAGATGTTTTTAAAAGTATATTACTCAATGGCACTAAAATAGTAATATTTAATTGCTATACCTCATGAGGAGAATTCCTTTGTTACAATATTCTAGTTTAATATTCAAGAGACTGCTCTTCATCAAGATAATAATTTCCACAGAATGTAACTTATAAAGGGAAAAAATTTGAGAGAAGCAGGAGATCACTTTTGGGGAGGAGCATACTTTTTTCATTTATTTTCAGAAGAAAAGCCTGATACTTTAATTAATTAAATCATTCACTGGTGTATGTCCTGAGTCCCACTTAGTGAAATAACAAATACATAGGAATTATTTAATTATAGAATGAATAATCACAGAGCAGAGATTATAATGTTTAATAAATTCCAACATAATTGACGTATTGTCTTTGTTCCAGGAATCTCACTGCCTGAGTGAAAGGACAATACAGAATGGGTTGCGGGCTCAAACTGAAAGCAGCTTAAGGAATTTTACGGACTCCATGTGAAGTTCAGATCTCAATCACTGCAATCTAGCAAAGGGTTACTGGACAGTGTTAAAACGGACTTTTTTGGCCAGAGAATTCTTTGTTGGGGAGAGCAGGCTGTGCATTGTAGGGCGCTCAACAGCATCCTTAGACTTTACCCACAAGATGCCATTAGCAACCACTCTTCCCGACTCCCTAGGAGGGGCAACGGAAAATGTCCCCTGGGGGACACGGATCTAGAGCAACGGCAGGAAATGTTGAGGGGGTATGGAAGTGGATACTATAGTGTATGGCCAGAACACTCCTTCAGGACCAAGACCTCTCTCTGTTGGACATGTTAACTGCGGATGGTTCATGGTCGACTCCCTCCTAAGGAACAGTCCAGGCCAAGGGTGCTGTTTTACCCAAGGCTAGCCCATGTCCAAAGACTGTGGATGGGAGGAAGCACAAATGCTCACCCCGATGCTTTCACATAGGGCAGCTATGCAGGACCATTCCAGCGCCAAAGTTCCTCACAGAATTGGCTAAGGCCTCTGTTTGTAAATGTACCACAGTTCATCTTTTCCCTCTGCCCAGTGCTGCCTTCTTCCTTTCCCTACAGGTACTGTTCTCTAGAGCACTTCCCAATAATCCCCCAAATGCTAATCTCTGCTTTAGAGTTTGTTTACTAGGAAATCCAACTCAGACAGGATAAAATAGTGAGTCCATTCTGTTTGGTGGTATAATTGCTACTTATGTTTTAAGTAGAATTGGGGCATTTACTGGGTGAATGAGAAGGAAATATAGATGAACAGAAGTGACAGCTGATGGAAATTGCTAAAATAAACATCTTGTAATTACAAATCCAAACTAAGATGTAAACCAAAATGGTACTGAATAGAGAATTCATAATAACATTGGTTAATAATTTCTGGGCACTATGCTAGATGCTTTCTATATATTATCTGTCTAATCTCCTGAACTACCCTATGAAGTAGGAATTATCATGCCCATTTTATAGGTGGGGAAACTGATGCGCAGAGAAATTAAGTCCCTTGTCTAAGGCACTTAGCAAGTAACTGATGGAGTTCCTGGCCCATCCAACTCCAGAGTTTGTGTGCCTTATCTGGATTATGGCCACAGCCTCTTAAAAGGGCTCCTGCCCCTATTTTTAATCTTCCTCTAAATCATTCTTCATATTGCTGCTAGAGTGATTTTTCTAAAATATAACTCTGACCATGGCCTTTCCCACTAAGAATTCCTCCTCCTATATCTTTTGGATCAAATCAAACCCCTTAGCATGGCATGTAAATACAAAGTCTTTCTTTCCTGATCTGACTCTTGACTACCTCTCCAGCCTTACCCCTTGTCCGCTAAACAAAGCTCTGCAGCGCCTGTGGATGCTTTCTCATATAGCTATACACAAGCTTCTCTAACCATAAAGATGTTTTATTTCTTTGCCAATGGAATAATAAGAGCTACTATTTATTGAGCCTGCTATGTGCCAGACCTTGTACCAGGTGCTTTCCAGTATATGCACTGTTTCTTTTACTCCTTGAAATAGCCTTATGAAATAGGTATTATTATTCTCATTTTACACTTAAGGAAGCTAAAGATCACCAAGGTTAGGTAACATTATAACAAGTTATTGGTGAGCCTGGGATATGAACTTAAATCTATCTGGCTATTGCACTAAAGGCATTCATTAGATGTTTATTAAATTAAGTAGTTCTTTATTTTCTTCATTCTATGAACACTTGTAATGCACAGATGTAAAAATGTATACAGAAGCGTTTTCATGTCACAGATGCCTGACATTTAGAAACTATTTTAAAACTCGTGTACCTACCTGCATGAGATCTTGAAGGCTCTCAACAAAAGAAATCTCTGCTTCTACCATATAAAACTCTGCCAGGTGTCTCCGGCTCTGAGAATTCTCTGCTCGAAATGTTGGACCAAAGGTAAACACTTGAGTAAAGGCTCTGCAATTCAAGATTAAGAGTAAAAATAGGATTCACATGATTAATTTTAAGTATTTAAAATACTCAGTGAGCTCCTAATGAAAAAAAAAAAGTTTTGTGCCTCTGCCTTGTTCACATATCCACACATACTAACTGCTGTATTTCTCTAATGGATGATAATAATAGTTTCATTAAAAATGTTACATTTATAGAAACAATTTTATCCTGAAGGAATTTGCAAATGCTTTAGGAACCCTATGGCTCACTAAATTTAGAATTGCCACTCCACTGCAGCTGCCTTAAAGAGCAGCAACTACATTTCACAGCAATTGAAAACAAAATAAAGGAAAAACACCACAGCCCAGGATGACACACAGAGACTCTGGATAGAAGTAGTAAAAACTAGAATTTCATCTGGATAAAGTGTGCTAATTATTTTTTAAATATGTGAAAAAAAAAAGAATATCAGATATGTATGGTGATGTGCCTTGTTCCAAGCCTACACAAGTCCTTCACAACCACCCAAGTGTTTCAGTTAATGCTGAATGACCACTGAAATTTGGGGATAAGGGTGGATTTTGAAGACCTGTCTACTAAATCTCTGGTTTTCAAAAAGAACTATAGCACAACAATCCAAACATTAAAAAAAAAGGTTTTCAATTCCTACAGAAGTGGACATTACATCCTCATTCTTTAACCCCTTACAGTCAATCCCCTCATATAAAAACAGGGCAACAACTGAGATTAGATCAGACATATACGAAGTAATGAATAGTTGAGGACTATCTAATCTTTGAATGTAAAGGTTTTGCTAGAGCAAAAAAAGAGGTTTGGGGTTCTTCAGCTATTATTCTTAGCATTCTTCACTTGTCTGTCATCAGTCAAGTAATATGAAGATCAAAAAATAGATTGTGAATATACGTATCAGTTTTTTTTTTCTTTAAGTAGAGGTACTCTGGGAGATGAAATAGTAAAACAATCATAGTGGATATCAAAAGATTTTGTTTTTTCTTTGAAAAGGCCATTTCAGTTACGGCCTCCTTGGTAAGAAGCTTAGGAATTTATGTTTTGGTTCTACAGCCACCTTCCTGAGACCATAATCAGTTGACCTCTGAGAACCTTAGCTTCTAATGGAAAAATAAACAATAATAAGTCAAACACATTACTATGGTAACCTCTCTCCCAAGATCCCAAACTCGCCTACTAGAATGTCCCTGAAAACACTGAATCTACCTTGTGCAAAAAGAAAACTCTTGCCATGTTCCCCCAAATAAAAAACAAAAATAGAACAATCCTGCTTTTTGTTTTTACATTTGGTCCAATTCTGCTAATCTCGGTTAATCCACTGAGTCACCCAAACCACATCTGCCCTCCCCTGTACTGCTTCCCCACTACCCACATTTCCTGTGTCACTCTGAGCCCCAAATTATATTGTTTACACTTAGGAAAGCTCTCTGAAATCTAGAGACTTTTCTTTATCTCTACAGATACTGTCTTAGTGTAAACAAACTCTTGTGTTTTGCTTGGAAAACTACAACAGCTTTTTAACTGGTGCCTGCCACCTGTCTTTCTTCCTCCAGTCCCGAACTACTATGGCTATATACAAATCTGATCATATCAGCCCTAGTTTAAAAATCCCTGCTGTTCAAAGGATGAAATTCAAGCTCCTAACTTTGACTCAACTTCTTTCACAAAGCTTTTTCTCCAGGTGCAATGAAGACATTCTCCTCACACTGTATGCATGCCCCTGCAAGATGCTAGGCTTTTGTATAGGTTGTTCCCCGCTCTCTAATGCCCATCTTTGCTCCCTTCTCTCCAAATGGCGAACTCTACCGCACGATGCAGTATACAGATGTTTTGTTGAGTTGTACAATTTAAACCTGTATAGTTTTGTTAACCAATGTCACCTCAATAAACTCAATAATACATAAACAAATAAAAAAATAAAAATACATGTAATGAGAAAAAACAAAACAAAACCAAAAAGGGCAAATTCCCATCTATCTTTCAAGATTTGGCTCAAACGTCACTTTCTCTTCGTAACTTTGCCACACACCTGCGAATTTATTACATCTTTCTTTATATGACTACAACACTTTGTTCATATATTTATTATACAGAACATATCAGTTTGAAGTGTAATTATTCATTTCAGTATCTTTTCCCCCCAATAAACTATGACATTTTCCAGAGCAAGAATCATGTTTTACTCATATTTGCATCTCTAGTGCTTAAGATAAAACAGGTGCTCAGGTTGAATGAATGGGCACTAATGATGATGACGGCTTCCTCAGTTGTAAACTGGAGACGCCCAGCACCCTTGCAAACAGCAGCATTACAAATGTGTACAGGAAAATATTCAAACACCCAGGGTGGGGCAAAAGTAGGTTTATAGTCCTGAACATGCCAAACACAGTTTATTCTTGTACTATTTTCCATATGAACAGCTGTATATCTACTTTGACCTACCCTGTATTTTACTGTGCCTGTTACCCAGTACCTAAAATGGGTCAAACAATCTAGGTTGGTCCAAAACAATAAATTCAAAAATTAGAAGGCCTCCCATTTCTAATCTATGACTATGCAATCTCTAGGTAGACTGTCAATAGTATATTTAAATAAATAAAATGAGATTGCCTTATGGTACTACATCACAAAAAGATTGTACGTACAGATGTTCACTAACAAAAAATGTTTCATTGAAGTTTTTCAGGGTGTAAGTAGAAATGAGGTGACCTCGGTAAATTTACGTTGGGGGCTGTGAGGAAGATTCACAAGAAATGGGCAGTTTCTGAAATACAAGGGAGGCCAAGGAATTGCTGCTCAAAAAAACATGTAATTTGTATTTTATCAGGGACAAGGAAAACAGTGGTTTCTAAAAGAACCACAAATTCAAGTCTGAGGGTACCTGCTTCTCCCAAGGCAATTCTATGTGGGGTATTCCAAAATGAGTAGTGATAGGGATGTTTTATGTTAACAGTGGTTAATCATTTCCCCTAGCAATGCAGGGTAAACTCTCACGCATGAAATATAGAGGAGGATCAGGGATTTTACTTTAGTTGTAGTAAAGATCATGCTCTAATTGAGGTACCCAAGAGTTAACTATTATTCTACTACGGTAAGTCAAAATTGATGGCCTTGGTGCTTCCTCTAAATTAACAGAAAGATAAAATGAGCTGGAAGGTATGTTGAAAAATTGCCTAGGTCAGCATCCAGTCTTTAGGCAGATGAATGTTTAAATCATTCAATAGCCATCAGCTGTATCAGTGCCCTGTGTTCTATTAGACAAGTAGTGAGAGGACTAGCAGTAGCAGTGACAGTGGCTGCCAGTAGCAAGTGTTCCTTGTGGGCCAGGCGTTAGAGGGAAGAACCTTACAGCTAACTCCTCCATATTTAACTCAATAAACTATGTATTGTTATTTCTATTTTTCAGGCTAAGAAACAGAAGTCCAGAGGGGTTAAGAAGCTTTCCCAACAGTCATAGAATCATAGCCTAATTAAGTGGTACAGGTCAGATTCAAATCTAGATCTGACTCTAACAGTCACAGCCTTAATTAAGATAGTAAAATAATGATGCTCCTAATTGCACATTGGCAGCCCCTCTTCTCAGAGGTAACTAGGGTAAGTAGTTTGGTATGTTTCCCTTCCTTACCAATAGCTTATTTGTTTTATGTGTTAAAATTACAACTCTCTAGGAAATGTTGCCTTCATGTAAATAATGAGAATGATAAATTTTCATCAATACTTTGTAACCTTTAGCAAGTCATTTAGTCTTTGTAGTCCTGAAATTCTTCCATGAGAGATGGGGGCAGTTTGGCATTAACTTCTGGTATCTTTGCAATGATTTGTGTCTCTAGGTCCATGTGAGATTTCTCTTATTTTAATTTATGATGATTTAAAAATGTTTCCTCTGTCTTCCACAGGCATGAAAGCCATTTGCAGCAAGGCTTCGGCCAGCCAACATTTAAAATAAAATCTGAGAACAAGGCTATTTCTAAAATAAGGTACGAAACCAGGTGAAAGGCCAGTATTGCTGTGAGAAGAAACCAGTAGAAAAAGAAAACACTCCACACTACAAAGCATTTTTGTGCCAAACTACGGAGAGAGGAAAGCTATATAAGGAACGTCCATGAGCTCAGAGTCAATGTTTTAGATAACAAAAGTACACTCAATATACACCGACCAAGGCAGCTACAGAAACAGCTTTTTAAAAATAAAAAGTAGTTACCAAAAAAAGGTTCTTCAAAGGTCACTTTCTCCCTTGTGTGGAGTTTTATGAAGCCCTAAATTGGCAAGTGGAATACTATGAAATGGTCACCCCTTGCCTGGCCATTTCTTCTTTCTGGCCCTGCATTTTAAGAGCTGATCTTTACATTTTGAAAGAATAGAGGAATTATTTTTCTTTAGCTGAGGAAGAGCTTAATCAGCATAAAGTGGGTCGGCAGCTTTCCCTCAGGCCTCCGACTTCCAACCTCCTATCACTTCTTTACTGTTGGTTCAGTAAAGTTCATTGAACTGAAGTGAACTCACAGGCAGCTTTGAAACGACTTTTACTTATTTTCTTTTCTTTAGAGAGAGAGAGAAAGAGAGAGGGAGGCAGAGAGGGAGGAAAGGAGGGTGGGAAGAAAGAAGGGAGGGAGAAGGAGAGAGAAGGAGAGAGAGGGAGAGAGAGGGAGAGAGAGGGAGAGAGAGGGAGAGAGAGGGAGAGAGAGGGAGAGAGAGGGAGAGAGAGAGAGAGAGAGAGAGAGAAGAGAAACTGACTTGTCATGCCCCTTATTTATGCATTCATTGGTTGGTCCTTGTATGTGCCCTAACCAGAGACTGAACCTGCAACCCTGAGGTATCAGGACAATGCTTCAACCAACTAAACGGACCTGGCTAGGGCTAAACTGTCTTTTAAACCACTCTTTGTCAAGTGGGATTCCCATCCTTCAGAAAATAATCGTCTTTTTTACTACTGCTTTGTATCTATTGGATTATCTATACTGGTGATATACTTGGCATTCATTATTTCTATATGC